CAATTGTCAGAAAGCTATATGTTTGTTCCGCAGAGCAACCGTGATGATGCAAGCACGATGGATTTTATTAAGACGCAAATCACGTTAGGCGAAATGGACAATGATCTTCCTAGTTCGGGTATTTTGTGCCTGGTAACACCATGTACTTTACCATAGAAGCTAAAGAATCACATTGCAACACAAATCGTTCAAGTTGGCGCTAATTTGTATGTCCATGTGCCTTTCAAGTCGCTTATAATTGACTAAATTACGAATGCTAAGAGAGCTTTAGCTAGAAATGATAGCGCCTTTGCGCACTCTGAATTCGTATCAAGTCCGTAGTCATGGAATAATGTCAAATGTGGTGTATAGCATCTTCTCGTCTGTAGCTAACTGGTTTGCTTCGACGACCCGACAGGAAATCGTAGAGTAGGAAGGTGAATCAAGGTGGTGTAGTGGTGAATGTTCAGACGCTTTCAAAGTCACTTGCGTTGGCATAACAAGTTAATGCAGTTAGCGTTGATTGTAATCACGAGTTCTCGCCTTGAGGCAAATACGATGATTTTTGTTGATCCTCCAGCACCAGCTGTTGTGACAGTGACGTCGGTTTCCACCACGTCGGTGGTGGTTCGCGTTGAGAAACCAACTGATGCCACAGGAATTGGCCGTTACGAGGTGAGAGTTGATGGAGTGGGTACGACGCCAGCATGCACCATTCCGTCCGGGGATAAGCTCGAATGTCAAGTGGATGGTCTGCGACCAGGCACTGAGTACAAGGTGGCAGTGAACTCGTGTATCAGTGGCACAGCTCCGGCAGTGTGCAGTGAGGACACGAGGGCATCAGGATGGACGCGACCAAATGGTGAGTTTAATTAACACTTTCTTATTGTTTAAATGGGTGCATTGTTAGCTATGTCGTCTCAATTGACAATCCTAGATTGAGCGTATTGGCTATTCCACAAATACCAACTGACATTTTGCCGCTGCATTGTACTTCTTTTGATGTTTTGTATTGCGGGAAACTTTGGCCATTTGACGTATCTGAAGGCCTTGTAAAATCGCCTCAGAAGAACCAAAGTGAATTTGAATGAAGTAACCAATCAGCCTCCAATAACTGTACGTTTGTGTTAAATGCACGCGTTGGACACTTGACTTCTATATGGATAGCTCTCAACTCCATTTTGCGACATCCCTTTCCTGAGTTGAATATCGTTGACTACAGTGGAAAATAAATTGGGGATTTCAAGAATCACCACCACGGAGCCTCGTTTTGTATTGTGCACTTAGATAGGTGCGTGATTCGGCCTCAAAATGACACTACCTCCATTGACTGTTCTTC